TTGAAGATGTGTGGACTTCAACTCCCAGAATTCTGGAAGTTGAAGTCCACACATCTTCAAGTTGCCAAGGTTGAGGAACACTGCTCTATAGGTTTAAAAAAGGAAAAACTCCCCCAGCAAAGGAATAATTCAGAAAAATCTGCCCCTGCCTCAGTGCGTGTGTGTGTATGTCTGTGTGAGAGAAAGAGAGAGAGAGAAAGTGAGATTATTATACCCATGTAACCCCAATGATTTTAACACAGCCAAGGCAGAAATGGTAGCTGGCTTGGGTCTTGCAGGCAGATGCGATCCCAACTGGATCCCAAACCTGGTTGTGTTCTGATACAGGCATGAGCCCACACACCTGAGGCAGTTGCCTAGAGTGGCACCATTTAAATTTTTTTATTTATTTATGAAACATATCAAGCTGCTTCGATCTTTGAAAGACTTTAAACGATACACAAAAGGGAACCACCACACGCCAACAAGGGAAGTAACAACTTCCCTTGACTACCATAAGCTATAATTCCCATATGATATCAGATCATGATAAATACATCTAGTGTTGATAAGTCCCCCCACTTAAGCCCCCAAGGACTTCCAGAACATCCAGGTCTTCACAAGCTTCTGGAAAGCCATAAGAGTGGGGGCCACCCTGGTCTGGAGGGGGAGGGAAGCTCTGCCAGAATTGGGGAGCTCCCACAGAGAATGCCTGCTATCAGCCCCCTCCTGCAGTTTACGTATTTATTTATATGACATATTTATATAGCCACCCATCTCACAATCAAGTGACTCTGGGCGGCATACAACAAAGTTAAAAACAATATATACAAATTATTATTAATATTATTGATATTAAAAACTTTAAAATGATAAAAAGCACAAGACTACACCAGAATAAAAGAGAGATTGGGCAAAGAGCAGGTGTTAATTACACGGGAGCCATCCCAATATTTCACCAGTCCCCTGGGGTCCCTAGGCCTGCAGACACAACCAGGTCTTGAGGGACCTCCCGGAAGTTAAAAGGGATGAGATCGGGAAGAAGGATGTTCCATAAAGCAGGGGCCACAGCAAAGAAGGCCTGCTGCCTAGGACCCACCAAATGAAGCTCCCTAGCCGACTGGATCCGCAGCATGTCCTCTCTGCTGGATCTGGTGGGAAGGGTAGATGCAATCAGGGAGAGGCGGTTATTTATCCCTTAAATAACCCAGTCTGATTCCATGTAGGGCTTTAAAGGTCAAAACTAATACCTTGGACTGGACCCAGAAACAGACCAGTTAGCAATGCAGTTCGCGGAACAGAGGATTAATGTGTGTTCTTCTAGAAACACACATAACTACCTTCGTCATTGCATTCTGCACCAGCTGAAGCTTCCAGATATTCTTCAAGGGCAGCCCCCTATAGAGTGCATTACAGTAGTCCAACCAGGAGGTGACTACGGCATGAGTGACTGTGAGTAGAGTAGAGCCCCCAATCTAGGAACGGGTGCAACTGATGCACAATACGAAGTTGAGCAAAGTCCACCCAGCCATGACTGTCACCTGCTCCTCGAGCAGGAGTCATGAATCTAGGAGACCTCCCCAGATTGCGCATGGGGTCTGTTTGGGGCAGTGCGACCCCATCTAGCACCAAAGATACTATAGTCCTAGAACCACTGGGCCCCAAAACCCAAAGCCACTCAGTCTTGCCAGGGTTCAGCTGAAGCCTGTTGTTCCCCATCCAGACTCTCACAGCCTCCAGGCACAGGATAAGATGCCTATAGCATTGCTTAGTTTGCCAGGGGCAGAGATGTATAATTGGATATCATCAGTGTACTAATGATACCTCACCCCATGGTGATGGATGAGCTTAGCCAGCTGCCTCATGTAGATGTCAAATAGGAGTGGAGAGAGCACTGACCCCTACAGCACCCCAT